AGAAAAACTAAATATTGTGATGCACATTGTGTATCGTGAAAATGTATCATGATATTATACTTTTGCCATATTGCTCACCCCTAAATGACATCACTGTAATGGGTTGCTGCCAGCTTCCTTTCACTGTTAGTCATGTTAGCATGTTTGGTCAAACTGTTCTGTTAACAAGCCCTTCTTGAGTTGAAGTGCAGGAAAAACTCTAGGATCAGGATTGGGAAACACTTGGATAAATCAAGCCCACTGAAAGCACTCAGTACTCCATGTCACTACAGCCAAAGAGAGAGGTGCATCTTTCCCTCAGCTGGCGGTTCCTCACGGACAGGAGATAAAAATTTGTACTAGTTCTTGTAACAGTGGTCCCTTTGGGACGAGTCAACCCGTCACTCCCACTCTCCAGCAAACGAACAGAGAGAAAACACAGGCACCTTTTCCACAACGCCTCCCAAACAGCGTTCAGCACTCAATTTGCTTTTGGCTTTTTGCTTGTTTGTCTTCCTGAGTTTGAACAGCACATTAGTTACACGAAAGCCCATTTTGGCAGGTGGTTAGTAACCACAGCTGGATAAAGCACTAACTCCTACATTCTTGCACAGGGTGGTGGGCCACATTCTGTAGATAAGGAGCAGAATGGGGGGGGGTCTGTGGCATGTCCTGTTGCAGTCGACATTTCATTCAGCCCTGGGCCGCGACCTTAAAGCCAATCGAGTGTTGGGTTACAGCAGAGAAGCTGGTACAGCTCAGTAAGCCAGCAGAAATGAGCGAGGCTCCTTCTGGCCAAGTTCTCTCTCTCTCTCTTTTTCTCCCTCTTTCTCTCCCTCTCTCTCTCTCATAACCCCTGTGCCACACAGAAGGGACCTTTGTGAAAGCGATCCGGCTGCTGACCAGTGAGCGAGCGCTGTTTAATTAACCTTCTCTCCAGCCTCTCTCACCACACTCTCCTGTTTTCTCAGGGGGGGTCAGAAAAAGAAAGGCATAATCTCTCATTCCAGCACACCTTACACACACACACACACACACACACACACACACACACACACACACACATCTACATACTCAGCAGAGAGGGGGGGTTCCTTTCCTCGACTCTATTATAATAATGCAGAATCGCTGTTGTTGCACGGCAGGCCCGGAAATTGGCTCTCTAAGAGTGGAAGAGGGCTGGGTTTTCAGTGAGGGGGGCCAAAACAGTTGGGGAACATCCTGGCGACCGCTAGCCCAGACGAGGGGGAACAATAGTGCCTCCGACCTCACTGCCCCACACACACACAGAAAGAGAGAGAGAGTGCATGTATAAATGGTGGAGAGAGAGCGAAAGACAAGAGAGAAAAGAAGAGAAAAACAGAATGCAAGAGAATGCCGGAGAGAGTAAGACAGAGAAAAGAAAAGAGAGAGGAAAATGTGAGAGCGGTGGAGAGAGCAAGAGAAACAATAAGACAGCATAAGAGAGAAGAGAGAGCATGTGCAAGAGAATGGTAGAGAGAGCAAGAGTGAGAAAAGAGAGGAAAAGTGAAAGCAAGAGAGAGAATAAGAGAAAGAGAAAAAGAGGCAGATAAAGAATGAGAGACAAACAGAAAACAAGAGAGAAAAAAAGAGTGAGATGTAGAAAAAGACAAGAAAAGAGAAGAGAAAAGGGAGAATAAGAGAGACAGAATGGGAAAGAGAGAGAGAGAGACAGAATGGGAAAGAGAGAGAGAGAGAGAACACAGAATGGGAGAGAGAGAGAGAGAGAGAGAGAGAGAGAGAGACAGAATGGGAAAGAGAGAGAGAGAGAGAGAGAGAGAGAGAGAGACAGAATGGGAAAGAGAGAGAGAGAGAGAGAGAGAGAGAGAGAGAGAGAGAGAGAGAGAGACACAGAATGGGAAAGAGAGAGAGAGAGAGACAGAATGGGAAAGAGAGAGAGAAATAGAGATGTGGCTTTGAACGCTTTTAATAGTGCATAAAACAGCTGAAATGCCCAAAGAGAGGAACAAATTTATTGAAGTTACAAAGAAGGGAGGTGTTTAAAAGCATGTGAGGACAATAGTGTTAGTGAGCGTGCGGAGGATGAGGACTACAGTAAATAAACTGCAGGAGCCTCTCCCAGAGCCGGGCTGCCCTTCCTCTCAGAGGAGCGCACTCTAATGTCATGATTGGATTGTCAGCGCTGGTGAAACAAAAGGAGCGAGCGATCAGACGAGATGATCTGCCGGGGTTGTGTGAGGTCACAGCGAAGGCAGGCGAGGAAGACAGTGGATTAAAGGCTACACCCAGCATCATGCTCAGCGGGTGCAGAGCATAAAACGGAGTAAAAACAGTGCTGAAAGGTCCACAGACCCCACCAACACTGAACTGATTATCAGTAATCAAAATCAGTGCCGTGAAAAAGAGAGATGAAGTCCCTGAAGCAATGACGCCATGAGAGCATCTCATAACACACAGAGAGAGAGAGAGAGAGAGAGAGAGAGAGAGTGGGAGAGAGAATGTGGAGAGGAGAGAGAGGAGAGAGAGAGAGAGAGAGAGAGAGAGGAGAGAGAGAGAGAGAGAGAGAGAGAGAGAGAGAGAGAAGGTGGGAAAGAGAATGTGGGAGGGAGGGAGGGGGAGAGAGAGAGAGAGAGAGAGAGAGAGAGAGAGAGAGAGAGAGAGAGAGAGAGAGAGAGAAAATCAAAAGGATGGAGAGGAAAAGAGAAAAGAACAAGAGACACAGAAAAGAGAAAGTGAGAGAAGAGAGACAGAAAAAAGAAATAGAGACAGAGAAAAACAAAAGATAGACACAGAAATTAAGAGAAAGGAAAAAGAGAGCTAGGGGAGAAAGGGAGTAAAGAGAAGAAGAAGGGACAGAAAAGAGAAAGAAGAAAGAAAAAGGATAAAAAGGACAGAGAAAGTAGAGAGAGAAGCTAGACAGAGAAAGAGAAAATGAAAGAAATAAGAAAGAGTGTGAGAGCAAGGATAAGAAAAAGAAAGAAAAAAAGAGGAAAAAGAGAAAAAAAAGAAATAGAAAGCGTATGTGGGAGTGAGTCTGTGGGTGTGCGTGAAAAAGAGCGGAGTTTGAGAAAGACAGAGAAAGAAACAGTGTCCTCTAGTGGCGAAAGCTGTGAATGACAGTCTGCGGGTCCATTAGAAAACTGAAGATAAAACCACTGCAGGAGCCGCAGCCTCAAACAGTGAAAACCTGAGCAGCTCCTCCACTGCGCTACATAACAGACACAGTCATGTACAGCACTGTGACAGTGAGGCGCCTGAGACCATACTGACAAACACTGAGCCTCTGAGGTCATTACACGAGCAATGGATGTGAATTCTAAGTGTCCACAGCTCATTATGGACAGGAATTGAGTGAGCTGAAAAAATTAGCTACAGTGAATTAAAATCATGACTCAGGACACAAATCCCTTCAACATTTACAGCAGCGCTGGCTGCAGGCCAGTTAAAGTCAAGCTCACACATGAACAGTTAGAAACTGGCACAGGACAGCAACACTTTAGGCTAGAATTACGCAAGGTATCTGAGCTCTGGCTCAAGTCTGGGCAGAACAGCGACAGGACAGCAGCAGTGAGTTCTTTCTGCGAGGCTGAGAGGGTGATTGAGTGCGAGGGAGCGCAAGACAGAGTGTGTGACTTTTAAACATGATACACCCTCGTCTCATCTCTCGCCCACTTCCCACAGCGATTGTCTGACCCAGGCAAGTTCAGACACGTCACCTAGAACACAAACACAGACCACTGCAGAACTTTCCCAGAATGCCTCGCCTCACCTCACCTGCCATGGCTTCCTACTGAGATCACACAGAAACCTTAAAGGGAAATTCCACAGATCAAACATTTCTGCATAATTAAATCATGAAGATGTAAACAGTGACTCAGTGTGGTTTCAAGTGAAATTATCTGTTCCAGGGAAACTTGTGAAGGATTGTTCACAGTGGTGGTGATAGGAACCAGATTATTGGCTGTTTAATGCCTCTAAGAGCTCCCTCACAGAAATGAATGTGTCAAACATATGCTGGCTGAGATGTTGTTTTAAGACAGTTTTAAGGTAATGTTTTGGCCTAAAATGTATTTTAAAAAATACATTCGTGGTGAAGAGGTACATGCAGGTTCTTTTGAGGCAAATGTTTTCTGATTTACCACTATTTTGCCAACATTATGCATAAAAAGAAAGCAGAAGACATGTATTTTCACCAGTCCTTTGGACAGTAAATAAAATAGCTATTTGAGCTGTGGACATCACAACCCCTGGTTCCTATTAGCACCACTGTAAAGAAAAAGTCTGTACATTTCTCTACAATTAACCATATCACGTTTCACTCTGAATGAGCAATGGCTGAAAATGCAGAAAGTTTTAAAAAAAAATTGGTGCAATTTGCTTTTAAATGAGTACAAAATGAAACAAAATGCTTAACACAGACTTCAAGATCCCTGACCAAATGATGACTGTTATAACCTCAGAAATGGTAACCTTACAAAAGAAGAAAAAAATGCTGATGTATGTTAATGTGATTTTTTTTTCCCCCAAGTAATTTGTATTTTGGACCATTTCTATCGGTCCATGTGCAATAATTTATTCACTCAATGTAAAAGGTAAAGAGTAGCTGGTATTTTCAAATTATATCAAATAAATAAATAAATAAACAAAAGTAGGGTTGGGCAGCATGACAATATTTTATTGTATCATGCTAAATGACATCACAATATGCCACAATAAGCTTTTCTGAGCATACTGTCAATAGGGCTAGGTATCATTCAAAATGATATTGATACAAACACCAATACCTTAACTTCGATACCGATTTGTTAATGATACTGCCCGTTGATATCGAGGTGCTACAAATGAGCAGATTTACTGACCACAACAGACTAATTAAGAAGCGCTTACGTTAATGACATGCATAACGTCGCTGTCCAAAAAAGAACTCAATTTTTTGCTGTTTTTATTTTTCAGTATGATTTGAGCTCAGCAGCTGTCCTTTACAGTGTGTGGAAATTTCATTATGATTGGATCAATAGAAATGCTCCAAAACTGCTTCGAATAAAATCTCTTTACATTAACTTACATTGAAGGTAAAGAACAATTTTGCCTTTTCTTTTAAAGTTACTGTTTTGGACAGGAACGACATGCAGTATCATTTAGACAGCCAATCAGCTGTATAAGCATGATTATTGGCCCACTGACACTGATAAAACTGACTTCTTAGAAATTGAATGCCATGAAATTTCTCAATACTTTCAACAGTATTGAAGTAATTTGGTCAGTAACAAGAAATGATTTCATCAGTACTTACAGAACACTGAACAGCTGCATATTTCATTACAAAGAGATCAAAATTAGCCCTGTTTAACTGGATTTAGTGCAGCATATGAAATGTTAAATAAAAATCAATGTATTCATCGCTTTTGATAACATTTTAAGTGTGGCATTACAGATTCTGTCTGTGCCAACATATCACACTCAGAAAAACTAAATATCATGATACATATCACATAATGTAAAGATATCATGTATAGTGATATTATATTTTTGCCATGTTGCCCAACCCTAGTTATGAGGTTTTGATATGACAGTGATGAGTGATTTGTGTTTGGGTATGTCTAAGCATGGGAATGTATTAAAACAGGCTTTGGTCAAATAAGGAATGTTTTGGTGATATTAGAGGCTTTAGGGAAAAAATCTGGATCAAGGAGGGTGCATGTGGAGTAACAGGTACTCCAGTGAGTGCATGTGGATGTGAGTGTTTATGTGCTTATTAGAACAGTCTTCGGTCTAGACAGGCATTTTTGGTGATATGGTTTGGTGGTATGGTGGCAGTGTCATAGAGATTTGCACCAGCAGTGGTTTGCGCAGAGTAACTGGTCCTCCAGTGGTGTCCATGGTGTGTGTGTGTATTAGTGCAGCAGTCAATGGCAGGTTGTGTTTAATGTCAACAGCAGTGTCTATGCCTTTCATATGCTTTCCCATCAATGCCCTCCAGCTTTAAGCTAAGCTGGAGAAGAAATGAAACCTCCAGTAGCGGGACATCGTGTCCAGGCTTGCCCCGCTCTGCTGGTATAAAAGCAGCCTGGAGCCATGCTCACACTGTATCAGTAACACAAACCCCACAATACCTCCCACACAGGCACATTTAGGTGGCGACTGGACGATCCTATCCAGGCTCAGATGAGTGTTCATATGAAGGAAACAAGGTTTCTGTACGAGTCTCTCCTACCAAAGTCCAGAAAACAATCCTCCTCAGTTAAACAGGATAGAGTCAGGATCTCTATTGGCCATCTGAGCCATGTGCTTCAAAATGTCCTTCTTAGTGATGATCCCCAACAGACGCCTACAGAGAGAGAGAGAGAGCGAGAGAGAGAGAGAGAGAGAGAGAGAGAGAGAGAGAGAGAGAGAGAGAGAGAGAGAGAGAGAGAGAGCGAGCATGAGACAGAGAGAGCACGAGACAGAGAGAGCATGAGACAGAGACCAAAGAAGGGGGCAAGAGACAGAGAGAAAAGGGGAAAAGGCAGAGAGAGGTGAAGAGAGAAAAAAAGAAAAGGGAAAAGGACAAAGAAAAAAGCAGAAAGGATAAGAGAGAGAGAGGGAGAGGGGGAGAGAGGGTGGAAAAAAGAGAGAAAGAGAGAATAAGCAAAGAGGCAGAAGGATGAAAGAGAAAGGTGGGAGAAAGAGGGGAAAGACAAAAAAGGGAAAGACAGAAAAAGAAAAGTGAGATAAAGAAATTGAGAGAAAGAGTGAGAGAAAGAACGATGGGGAGAGAGTGAAAGCCAGGCGAGGGAAGGAAAGAAAGAAAGGAAAGATCGTGACAGTCACAGAAAAAGAGAGAAAAGATTGACAGGTGAAAATTATTTCAGTTGAGCAGTAACAAAAACAACTATCCTGACAGCGACACACAAATATGAGAAAACAAGACAGAAGAGCTTCGTTAGTTTTACTCTAGAACAAGAAATGTGTGCTCACTTAGACACACGTATGAATATTCAAGACCACATGCGCGCGCGCGTGTGTGTGTGTGTGTGTGTGTGTGTGTGTCCTGAACAGTTTCTCAATCCCTCAATCGCTCACAGATGTCATTTCCATTTGTTGTGCTGGGAGTAAGTCTGGCTCCAGGGATGCAAAGAAAGATAAACAGCCTGCTCATCTTTCACTTGCGCGCACACACACACACGCACACGCACACACGCACACACGCACACACGCACACGCACACGCACGCACGCACGCACGCACGCACGCACGCACGCACGCACGCACGCACGCACACACACACACACACACACACACATCCATGTCAATCCCGTTACGTTAAAGGCAAAACACAGCCCAGAGATACCTCTGCTGGAGGCTATAGAGAATAATGAGCTGAGAGATTGTGATTTCACTGGTCAAAGCTACAATTAGTATGTTTTCAGTGCTCAGTGAGCCAAAGTCAGGAACCACCCAACTACCAGTAACATGCTTAATGTTAGACTGATCTCCCCCATTATCATTTTTTATTAAAACCGGGAAGCCCAAAACATTTGGTCTGTGTGGGCCCAAAGTGCAGTGTTAATATATAGTGGGCTAGGAGCCAAAAAAGGTAAATAAGTACAAATAAAGAAAAATAAAGAAAAAGAAAAAAAAAAATTCAAGATTTTAAAAATACTCCCACCTTCAAGATACATAATCAGAAGGAGGCTTTTCCTAGCCTTTAAATTGTAAAATCTGACTCTAGCGACCACTCCAGCTCCGCTGTAACATGTAAGTGAGCCCGTTTACAACAGACATAGAGATGGTTAAATTTTCATTTTGGCCAGAGTGTCATTATAAACTGAACCAAACATCCTTAAATAATAATAATTGTGTAGCATTGGGGGTGAAGCTTGTCAATATTGGGTGATATTAGTGGCAAACTGATATACCGTTTGGGCTCTATTACTCAGTTATAGACAAAAATAAAAAACAACAACAAAAAAAAAACGTATATATATTATATATATATAAAAAACACAGCAACCAGAAAATACAAAAAAAGAAATCAAAGAGGAAAATAAACTGATGTACGCCTAATACATATATATAAAAAAAATGCGCTGAAATATGTTCAGGCCTTGCATGTAAGAATCAGTTTGCGTCAGTAATTGACATTTTAAAATAACCATATTTTTAATACACACCCGTTCTGTGTGACGAGGCACTGGCGGAGGCCAAGCTTGCGGAAGATGTCCACAGTGATCTCCATGGGTGTGTGGTCAGTGATGACCAGAGGACTGAGGTCCAGGATAGGGCGCAAATTGAGTGGAGGAGGACCACCCTGGTGCTGTGAAGGAGCGTGTTCGGTGAAGAGTACACGCGATGCTCCTACAATGCCATCCTGGCAACAACGTGCATTATCTAGAAGAGAGGAAATAATGGAGTTGTTTTAGGGTTTAGGGTTTTCACCTAGTATAATCTACGAAGAAAAAGCATTGCTAATAGAATTACACACTAAGGTCAACATGCCCAATGCCAAGGGGTATAAAGTCTCCCAGCACTGGGCTGTGAAGCAGTCAAACGGTGCTGTCTGGAGTGATGGACCACTATCCAATACCTTTGGGATGAGCTAGAGTGGAGTTTGTGATCCAGAACTAATCTTCCAACATCAGTACCTGACCTCACTAATGCTTTTGTGCCCGAACGCAATCAAATACTCACAGCAATGTTCAAACATCTAGTTTTAAAACCTCTCCAAAAGAGTAGAAACTGTTACTGCAGCAAAGGGGGTACAAATGTCCTATTAAAACCTTTTTAGAAGAAATGATGGATGAACAGCATATGATGGATGTCTACCTACTCATGCTCAGGGGAGCTTTTACAAGTCATTTTATACTCACTGATTTGACTGGAATGGGAAACTGTTGGAGAAAAATATCTGAATAAAAAATCTGCCCTGATAATGCATACAGAGCTTACTTTCTTGTTTTATCTTGCATAACTGGAATGCCTGGGAGGGTGGCCAAGTTTTATGCTAGAATGATTCTGGCCATTCCTTGGCTTCGCCCTCTGTCCACACTTTCAAACAAAAAATGAACCAAACATACACTTGAGGCCTGCTCACCTATTGATATCACCAGGTCCCTTCGCAGCACAAAGCCCACTAGCCTCTGAGACTGATGTGAGACCACCACGGGGAAGCCACTGTACGATGTGTCAGATATCATCCCCTCCACCTCCTCCACGGTCATTCCATCCAGCGTTAGGACGGACAGTGGAGGGTCGTTCCTCCTCGGTCGCATCACGTCCATGGCCAGCGTCTTTTGCTCAAACTCCTCTTTGGGCTCCAGGAAGGGGTAACCGTTGAGGCGGATGTGTGCCTCGTAGATGCCCTCTCGGCCCAGAGCGTCCGCCACCCACTTACTAGTCATGGTGGCCGCCATCAAAGGCACGATGTACTCCAGTCCACCAGTTAGCTCGAACATGATAACCACCAGAGAGACGGTCATTCGTGTAACACCACCTTGATGGAGGTGAAGACACAGTGATAATGGTCAGAAAGATTGAGGGTTAGTAGCTGTCATATGATATAGGCAGACATAGGGCTCATTCTCACATAACCACCTTGAAATATGTCCATAATTATTTGAGTGCCATAAGCATCACACAGATCAACTGGAGCTCTGTAATAATTCACTCTTTAAAAAGATGGTTCTTCAATGGTTCTTTAGCAATGACAATGGTTCTATATAGAACCGTGAACACTCAAAGAATTATTTGCATGCTTAAAGTATTCTTTGCATGGTTAAATGGTTCTTCAGATTGATGGAGAATGTGTTGTAATATAGAACTGTTTTCAAAAAGGGTACTATATATCACCAAAAAGGGTTCTTTTACTGGTATAATGTCAAGCTTGTAAGAATAGAAGAACACTTTTTGGTGCTACGTAGAACCCTTTTCAGAAAGGTTCTATGTAGAGCCATATACAACACACTCTCCATCAATCTGAAGAACTATTTCACCATGCAAAGAACCATTTAAGCATGCACTCTTTAAGTGTAATGGTTCGATATAGAACCATCGTCTTTACTAAAGAACCCATGAAGAACCGTAGTTTTGCAATTAAAAGTAAGAGTAATAAATATCCATAACTAAATAAATGTAAAAAATCAGTTAATTGCTTTTTTAATTAGAAAAAAAAAGTTTTTATTACTATCTAACAGTTAAACCTCTTTATTTTAATGTTTTCCTTTTTAAACTTATGTGGTACAAGCAAAAGAAAGACCTTAATGGGTGTCATTGTGTTCCAGTAATGAGAAAAAATTGCAAAATACTATTTTTTACAAAAATATACATTGTAATATTAAGCTTTAAAATTAGTCAGACACAAGTATACAGATTGTGAAGAGTTGCCAAAAAAAAACAAACAAACAAACAAACAAAAAAAACACACCATATATTTTGAGATCTGAGCAGAAATGAGAATTTGGTCATTTAAATTGGTATTTTTCACATTCATGAGAATAAACTATAGCTAGAAGGTGTGACTGGCACCTAAATTTGGTGCAAACTGGGTTAAAATAATAAAAAAAAGAATGACTAGAGGGAAAGATGAGGGAAGGCCAGAAGACTGAAGGAGGGTGATATATTAAGAGATGGACAGATGATGAGAGAGAAAAAAAGAGGAAAGGGTAGAGGAATAAAATTGATGAAGAAACTGTAAAGGGATGGTGAAGGGACAAGGAAGAACATAAAGAAACAGAAAAAAAAAAGAGATGGACAGATGAAAGTAGAGAAAGTTATCAGGATGAAATGAAAACAAAGAGGAGAAACAGAGAGGAGGAAGAAAAGAGACAGATATGAGGACAAAAACTGATGAGCAGAATGTGCAGGAAAGGTGAAGGGAAGAGAGGGAAGGCAAGAAAGACTGAGGGAGGAAGAAGAGCAATGTACAGATGAAAACAGAGAAAGACAGCATGATATAGAAAGGAAAAAAGAGAGGCAGGAGAGGGGAAAGGAGAAGGAATAAAGGAACGGAGAGGAATACACACGCAAAAAAATGAAGAGTAGAGTATGCAGGGATGGTTAAGGAAAAAGAAAGCACAAAGATTGAGGGACAGAAAAATGAAAAGCGCTGGACAGATGAGGGTAGAGAAAGGAAGCAGGATGGAAAGAAAGAAAAAGAAGGAGGAATGATGAAAAGGGAAGGAATAAAGAGAGAGAGATGAAGACAAATATTAGGAGAGTGTACAGGGAGAAGAAAGGAGAGAAGATTAAGTAAGAAATTAGATAAGAAAGATGAATGAAGGCAGAAAAAAAAAGAAAAGGAGGAGAAACAAGAGAGAGGGAGAGGAATAAATGGACAGAGATGAAGAATAAACATTGTTGAGAGCCTGTGCAGAGATGGTGAATGGAAAAAGAAGGACAAAGGCTGATGAAAGAGAAAGGCAGCAGAATGGAAAGAAAGAAAGAAAGAAAGAAAGAAAGAAGAAGAGAAGGAGAAACATTGAAGGGGGTAAAGAAACAGGTGAAAAGAAAAAAAAAAAATGATATAAACGTGCAGAGATGGTGAAGGAACAAGAGAGAAAGAAACATTAATCGAGAAGGCAGAATGAAGGGAGACAGAGAAAGTGTGGAAGGAAATGAGAAAGGGAGTGGAATAAAGGGAGAGACAGGAAGAAAGTTTTGATGACGAGTGTGCAGAGGCAGCCAAGCGCTCTCACGAAATGGCTTTGCACACAAGCATTTTTTCATTCATGCAAAATTAACAAGGCAGCCACAGCCGGGATCTGAAAAAGTTTTACATATGCAAGAATGTTTGTTCCTGCACTGTCACGGAAGACCGGAGCTGAGAATTTAGCGGAGATTTTAGATCAAAGAGCACAGCTCCATAATAACGACAACAAACCATTTGGAAAATCCAAACTGCCAAATACACATTTTCCCTCATCAGATGGGATTCCATAGCTCAGTGATCTCCATTTAACATCCCTCAGCCAGGCCCGGCTCCAGCACGGCTTAGAGCGCACATGTGCGTGCCAGCTTAAAGCTTTATGAGCTGTGAAACTTCTGGGCTACAAATGGGCAACAACAGTTGACACTGAGGATCAAGGCTTTAGTTAAACAAACACTACTAATTAAAACTATGAGCAAACACATTCCTATTGGTGGAAAGTAGATGGGAGGGCCATGGAGGGTTCTGCTTTAAGCCCAAGTTAAAAGTCTTTCGCTACAGGATGCAGAAACGTTAGTTCACGCCTTCATCACGTCCAGGTTAGATTACTGTAACGCTCTGCTTTCTGGTTGTTCCAGCCAAAACCTTAACAAGCTTCAGTTAGTCCAGAACGCTGCAGCCAGAGTTCTCACCAAAACCAGGAAATTCGACCACATTAGCCCAATTTTGTGTACCTTACATTGGTTGCCAGTTAAATTCCACATTGAGTACAAAATTCTTCTACTGACATATAAAGCTTCGAATGGCCTGCTCCTCAGTACCTCAGTGACCTTATTTCCTAATATCAACCGACACGCCCACTTAGATCACAAGGTGCGGGCTCATTATTAGTACCCAGAATAAATAAAGTTACGTCAGGGGGAAGAGCCTTTTCATACAAAGCCCCCCAGCTTTGGAATAGCCTACCAGTCTGTGTTCGGGACTCAGACACAGCCTCCATCTTTAAGTCTAGGCTTAAAACTTACCTGTTTAGTTGAGCTTTTGGTTAATTTGTTTTTCTAACTATGTCCCTCTCGACACCCCCCCCCCCTTTCCCTGAGCTGAGCGGCTGCCTGTCCTAAGAGGGTCTGACCTGAGATGCGGCCGGCGCACTGCACAGTGGTGTTAAACTGTATCCACTTATACTGTTTTGTGTCTGTCCTCTTATCCGGTGTTGACCAGAGGAGGATGGGTTCCCCTTTTGAGTCTGGTTCCTCTCAAGGTTTCTTCCTCCTTTTGAGGGAGTTTATCCTTGCCACTGTCGCCAAGGCTTGCTCACTAGGGGCGTGGACTCGGATTCTTTGTAAAGCTGCTTTGTGACAACATCTGTTGTAAAAGGCGCTATATAAATAAATTTGACTTGACCTTGACTTGACTTTTATTGTTGTCATTCTGCTTTACATTCAATGCACATTATATATACACTTGTCATACGTAAATGAATCAATCACAAATATAGATTTCAAAAACGACAACTTTAAAAAATCATGATGTGCATTTTTATATGAGCACATATCTATGTGCATTTATATCTATGTGCATTTTATATCTGAAATATAGTTAGTGTTATCAAATCTTTTAACTGTATGTTTCAGTTATTAAAGCTGTACTGGTCTGGACAAACCATTTGACATTAACTGGTTGTGCAACCTGACTTTTCAGAGTAATTTTTAATTAAACTTGGACACTCCTGGAAACCTTGGTCCTTGAACTTGAGTTCCATTTCAAATAAATAAATATTATTATTATAATTACACATTTTAATGGTTTTCCTGAGGTTATTCCACCTGACACTAAACTGAGCCATCTCCAGAAGCCAGGAGTACGCTACCTGCAGGAATGCATGGTGCCAACAGTAAAGTTTGGTGGAGGAGGGATAATGTTTGGGGCTGTTTTTCAGGGTTTGGGATCGGTCATTTAGTTCCAGTGAGGAGTAAATGTTAATGTTACAGCTTACGGGAACTTTTAGACAATTATATGCTTCCAACTTGTGGATCCTGACTTCAACCCTATTAAAACACCCTAAGGAATGAAATCGGAACATCGACTGCACGCCAGGCCTTCTTGTCCAACATCAGTGCCTAACTTCCCAAATGCTCTTTTGGCTGAATGGGCACAAATTCCCACAAACACACTTTAAAGTCTTGTGGAAAGCACTGAGAAGAGTGGAGGCTGTTATAGCAGCAAATGGGGGACAACTCCATATTATTGGCCGTGGTTTTGGAATGGGATGTCCAGCAAGCTCATGTATGTGGTGTGATGTTCAGGTTTCCGCATACTTTTGGACATAAAAACACGCTATATGTCATTACAAAACCTGACAAAATCAAAAAAATGTTTTGACATAATTTGTAAATGTCAGCTGGCCTTTACATTGTATTAAAATTAATGATGAATGGACCAATAGGAATGCTCCAAAATGCTTAGAAGAAAAATCTTGTTTCATTGACTCCCACTAAAAGTAAGGTAAAGCAGTCATTTTGGAGATATGAGATTTTGCTCCAACACCAACCACAGACACATACACACTTAATTACAAAGTTACAAAATTACTTTTTACATTTGATCTACATTCTGTTTTGCAAGCTTTTGTATATTTCAATGTCCAAAAATGTAAATAAAACCTTTTAGACTGTCAGCACAACAATAACTTTCCATCTATTCAGAGGTGGGTAGACGGTCACACTTGACTTTAAGGGGTGATCATTCTATTAAGCAATTTTTGACCTGCTACTTCTGTGCTTCAAGTTGTTTCTGTAAAGTTCTGTAAAGTTGTTTATATTTGAGTGCAGCTTTAGGTTACTGTGGCTGCAGGTTTTCATTCCAAAGCTGAAGTACACCTCATTAAAAAAGTGGAATCAGCTTATTTCAGTATTCAACAAATGATCATATATGCCTCCGCTTGTTTGGAATGAAACCCACAGCCACACTAACCTTTTGTGGATAAGATTGGAAACCGCTGGTTTAAGGCATCTTACCCAGACATGCTGCTGCCCCAAGCATGGCGTAAAGGCCCGGGGTAATGCATTTGGCTCCAGGAGAGCACCAGCCTTTAAACATGGGCCAGTCATGGTGGTAGTAGGCCAGCTGCTCCATGCCAATGCCCAGCAGCCTGCCGGCTATCGCCCCCACTGCCATGCTGGGGATGAACAGACCAGAGGGCACCTGTGGCAAAGAAGAGCAAAGAAAAAGTGAGGGAAAAAAAATTGAACAAGAAGCAGCTGAAATCCATAAACTGCAGAATATGAGTATCAACCAATGATGATGGCAAACTCTAAGCCTACATTTTATATCATGAAACTTAATTAAATGTGCAGTTAAAATTAATTAAGAATGTAAACTGGCTACAAACATCACACAAATTTCATTCACGTTCTTTGCAAAGTGCCCCAAAACGGTTGATGTACATTACTGTTTAAATATTTAGAATCACTTCATATTAACATTTTTTAAAAATTTTATATACATTAATAGTTCTGCAGTGTAGATCTAAATACGATACACTATTCACACCAATAGGTATTTTAATATAGGTCTGAAAAGGAAATTCTTATTCATTATTTCATTCAACATTTCAATAATTTTTAGAAGTAAATAAAAGATAAATTATATATTGTTATTATTCATTTACATTAACTTTCTTGGTGTTGCATCTGTCTCGAGATTTAATTTCCACTTTTAGAATATGAAAATTCTGAATATTCATCTTATAATACTTTCACTTATTTTATCATCTACAACTCTATTCACCATTCTTCACAATTTTTATTTACAGCTTCCTATTAATGTTCTGAAACTTATGAATTTGCACAGTATTAGCATATCTGAATTAATAAATACATCTTCAACCAGACTGGATTTATACTGTTGAAAATAGTGATTTCACATTTTTGAACACTGATTCCACTTCTAAACGGTGGCTTATGTTGTTCCAAAAGTGACATCACATCTGTCCAAACCTTGCTCTAAATAACACAAGGTCTTGAACTGAGACTATTTAGTTCAGAAATGCACTGAAGTAATTGTGGGCCGTCGCTAATATCCAATATTTTTCATATAAATATCTGCTGATACATAAACATTTATAAAATGTAGAAATTAGGACTATATCCACCTGGATTGGCATTATGACAAAAAGTTTTTTGCTTATTAATTAATCTGTAGAGGACTGCAAGTATGGTAAAATTAATCAAATGCAGATATTTTAGTACAGTAACCCAGCGTCGCCTGAACATTCTGCTCTACCAGAGTATGATAAATACGTCATCAAATATCAGTTTTAAATATCATATCTAATATCAAAAGTCAAATCAAACATCTGTCTGATGACCATTATTGTTACGGAAATATCTGCCGATACTGATATCATTACGCCTCACTACTTCAGTCTCTACTACCAACAACAGGTGCATAACTAAACATCAAAACATATATTATGTACTTATTCCCACAAGGATGTGGGAAGTGGGGCTGCAGCATCCCCTGATTGCAACTATTAAAAATAGTATTACAACAGAACGTTCTGAACTTTACATTAATTTGAGTGTAGTATAGATCCATGTGTGCTTGTTTTGGAGTAGAGTTTGTATTTTTATATTCTAAAAAGCTGCAGTAGCTGCACTGTTTACGTGAACGCTGTATTTTCATTATGGTGAGCTGAACACAGTTGGCCACTTTTGGGCTGTGTTGCTCATATATATGCAGGCAAAGCTCCAAAAAGAGAAAGTGCAGAGATAGAGGCCAGTTCTGAACCCCAAGGCAGCCTAATATTGTTTTTTAAACTTTCAAAAGTCATCTAATATGAAGATTTTATAAGCTGTTATATCTCCCACTCAGTAGGTGTTTCAGTGTTAAATCTGTGTGTGTCGTTGGGTGTGACAAAGTGGGTTACCACAACGCATAACAATCTAAACAATCTATAAAGTTCGTCCAGAACTGTAGAGCAGAGTGTTGATGTGCGTCAGTGGTTAGATGTGTCAGTTATATGCATCTATTGTCTTCTCTCGCCTCAACATAACACTGTTGGACACGCTCAGTTTGATGTAAATAAGCCAAAAAAACAAAAACAAAACAAAAAGAATCGAATGAAAAACTGCAAATCATACTGAATGACATCATCGGTTAAGCCACACTGCTTAAAATTTCACAACGCCCAACTTAAAACACCTTCCCCTGTCCCTGTATTCCCATGTTAGAGAATTCTGAGAATAGAGATGAGGGACTAGCTGCAGTACCTTCATGCCGAAAGTAACCACGGTGATGAACATTTTAAAGACCAGGGCAAGTACAAGCTGCCAGATGGCAGTGTAGACCCCTGATCCTGCTGCCCGGTCAGGTAGCCCATTAGTGGTTTCGCTAAAGTTTGCAGTTCTTTCTCCGCCTTTGCCCAGAGGGGTGTAGTCACACAGCTTTGAGGAGTCCAGCAGGCTGCAGTCATTAAAAAGCTCGGAGATCAGCTCGCTGCTGCTCATGCGGGTGTATTCGTTGGGGAAAGCCAAGACTGCTGTGGCTAGAGCCACCACCACAACCTCCAGCACGGGGTAGTGGCCCAACCGGGTGGTCTTCCGTCGCCGGCACCAGGCAATATTCGCCCGGATGAAGAGTGCCCCCCACAGACCACCAAAAATACCTAAAAGGACGAAGGGGAAAAGCTCCAGGAAATGCCACGGAGTGTGGAACTCCACGTAGAACAGAACCAAGCGACTGTTCCCGAACGGGTTAATGGAGCGCAGGGTGAAAGCCGCCACCAGAGCAGCGAAGAAAGAGCGCCACAATGTCTTCAGAGGGAAGTAGTAGCTGACCTGGACAGACAGACAAAGAAGCACAAAACTACAGTCAAAACTGAGTGCTACACTACACACTTAAAAAAGATGGTTCTTCAAGGGTTCTTTAGTAAAGGAAATGGATCTATTTAGAACCATGAGTTTTATATAGATCCATTTCATGCTTAAATGGTTCTTTGCATGGTGGAATTGTTCTTCAGACTGATGGAGAATGTGTTGTATATGATTCTATATAGAACCATTTGAAAAAAGGTTCTATATTGCACCAAAAACAGCTCTTCTATTGTTAAAAGCTTGACATCGCAGCAATAGCAAAACCTTTTCTATACAGAACCATATACAACACATTCTTCATCAACTGAAAGGTTTGAGGGATGATGAGTCCTCACAACACAACAAGGCAGTAAATCTGTGGGGTTTGTTCTTTTTTCCAAGATAGGACTTTTGTCAGTTGTTTTAGATTTTTTTTTTATATGGCAAGATCTAAACAGCTGACAAACATGCTTATTTCTATTAAAAACATTTTGAAAACCTAAGTGTCCCCAGTCTTCTGACCAGCAGGGTACACACTTCAGCATGCTGTGTACTGTTACTGATTCATAACAGTCAACTTCAAAAACAGAGGCTGTATACTATGTACCTTGACATGGAACACAGATTTACTTATACATTTAGTTTTCCTCTCACATTTGCATAACTACGTTTCTTATATACGTGTAGTGCATGTTTATATTTTCACTGGTCTAATTCATACCTCTTCCAGACTGAAAAGCACTCCTCCTATAGGAGCTCCAAAAGCTACAGACACACCCACAGCAGACGCTGCAGACAGGACCTGAGAAAACACAACAAACATGTAAAAAAATAAGGGGCAGAAAGACTCACACAAATAATTAACACACTCATATGCAAAGTTCGAACACCCCTGGTCAAATTCCATGCTTTAATGATTTTCTATGTAAAAACAAGTTAACACATCCTCTACAGGACCATTAGGACATTTTTCTGCAAATTAACATACTGGGATAAAATATAAATTGTGTCATACCTTTGCAAAAATATGTATATACACACACATGTATGTGTGTGTGTGTGTGTGTGTATATATACACACACACATACACAATTTATATTTTATCCTTAATTTTCCCCATATATATAGGTGTTCAAACATTTTAATTAATACACTCACTAATACTCATTAGCTAAACTGGCTTTGTAGCTTCTATACAAAACTAAAAAGCTAATTTCAGACACCAAACATGTCTTGGCTGATACATTTGGGGTAAAAAGAAAACTGTTTTGGCTGAACAATCCCTTTAATATCAGCTCCAGTCCAGCTGACTCTGATTTAACAGAGAATCTAGAGCATGGCTGTGTGCCTGCTGTCCAATCTGTCTAGCTTGGTTAACTTGGCTGTGGTCTCTGGAATGGTAGGAGGCAAATCTTTACATATTACATTACTGTTCTTAAGCCCACAACACAAAGAAACCTCTCTTCTTTGTTCCTCCCCATCCGCTTTAAAATCTCTCCCCATCCACTTTACCCCTATCTTGTTGTGCATTACTTCAATCGCCCACCCCTTCTTTCTTATCTCACCATCACTCCGCCTCCATTTCCCACTCTCCCCCTCTCCCTTTCTCTCCACAGCTCCCTCCCTCATTTCATGGATCCTACCTCTCTCCTCTTGGCCTCGTTCTTGCGGTACTTTTCGAAGAGGTGGCAGAGGATGTTGCCACAGCAACAGGCCACATGCACCAGCGGACCCTCTTTACCCAGACTGAGGCCTGATGACACGGCCAGGACCAGAGTGATGGTCTTTATCACCAATGTCCACTTACCGAGGTAACCTCTGATTATGAACCCACTGAGGATTGTCTTAATCTGAGAGAGAGAGAGTGTAAAAGAGAGAGAAAGAAAATAATGAGGGAGAAAATGTAGAAGAAGAAAGAAATGAGAGGAAAAGAGAAAAGAGTATGTGCATTTAGAACAACAAGGCCTTAAAGAGGAGAGACTAATGAAGAAATGTCCTGAGAGACACATTATCATCAGTAAGCCTTAATTCATTAATCTACTCAGGATGTTTGCATCTGAGGGAGGGATAGAGCGAAACCACAGCTTTCCCCGGATTATCATTTGCGTGATAGCGTCTTGTTCTTGGCAGGAACCCACCACTTAAAGGCCCTTTGAGGAAATATATCATTTTCACTCATTTGGATCCTTTTGCTCAGCGATTTCTTAAGGCTTAAAGAATTAAAGCTGTAACAGTGTCTTTCATCTTAAGGCTTCTTTACCTGACAGCGCAATTTATAAAGAAGGTGATGCTCAGTGCTTTTTGATACACACAGCTTTACACAAATTGTGGTTTAACATCTGCAGACGGTTCAGTCTCTTGAAGGCTTAACTAGAGTGGCAGAGGAAATAAATCATGCAACAGGTGGCTTTTCTCTCTGAAACTGGAGAAACAAGTCACAGCTACCTTAGACAAGAAGAGCTTTGGTAATGCTCAGTTCCACTTTCAGAACACACAAACTCGTATACAGTTTCAGTGAAGAGTTGATGCAGAGGATGAGTGTATGGCATAATGTTTCCATTTCGCCTGACTGAAACAAACAGGGCCAATTAACCATTTGATATTAGAAACATAAACTAAACTTAAGGGTGACAAAGAAAAATAAATAAAAAAAAAAGTCAGTCAGGATAAGTGGACCCAATACATGCCAGCAAAATTCGCTATGTAGCATAACAGAGCTATCTGACCCCCTCACTGTAGGGCTGTATCCTTCTCTTGGTGTATGCCACACACATGCTCATCCACTTGTGGAGGATATGGTGAAAGATGACTGAAATAACCATATTACAGTGCTGATGGTTTTTGTACCATTGAACTCTCAAATGTCCGTTCGCCTTTTTTACGAGGGGTTTGTGCGCTGCAACCCTACTATAATATCTCTCTCTATGTAGTTGTGGACAGCCTGTGCTCGCTGACACAGTCTGATCACATCCTGCACTGACATTCTCAGTCACCTGAGGAACAGTTGCACTTCTGTTTTTCCTTACATATTACACTAATGCACAGCATCACAGTGACTGATTATACACTTTCCACCAATTTCTAGCCCTTTACTAAAGTCTCTCCCATAGATCTAAATGCAGAGGTCACTTTATTCACTGTCCCTACAAAAAAATAAAAAATAAAACAAAAAAATAATTGATTAATTTTACACACACCACAGAGCACAGTAAGATTACATCTATCTGAAAGCACCTATACTTGTTATGTTTCTCTGCTCAATTATTCAGGTTTTCCTTTACTTTGTCATATATCTGAATATTCTGTGATACTGTTTTTACTGTGTATCACGTTTATGTGTTGATTATTTGTACTCTGTATTGTCCACTTACATAAGCATCAATCTCACCAAGACAAACTGCTTAGCCAATAAACCGATTTTGGTTCTTAAAAGACTACAGATTAAGTGAGGATAGAAAACGTGCGCATGTGTGAGTATGTACACACAGATGTTTTACCTCAGGGATTCCTGAACCGCAGGCATATGGGGCGAAGGCTCTGACCAGGATGACGGCCAGAAAGGAGAAGATCAGAGCCCAGCTCACATACATCAAATAGTTCACCACATATGCACTCGCCCCCTAGTGCACACAGACAGAACAGCACCATCAGCACTCAATCATCCACACTTCACTCTTTCATGTCCATGTGCGTAAAGCATATGGTACATACTACGCACATACAACATCCACAAAACTCCATACTGCAAAAATAATAAAGAAAATTAAGTTTGTGTCTGAAAAAAAGGTCTTAATAGTCTGCCTTACAGTAACAGTACAGAATGAAATAGTTACCTGTATTATTTGATAAGATGTGAAATTGAAGATATGATCTTAGTGTGGTGAACAATGAACAGTAAGAATGCTTAAGCTCAAACGCTTGAGGCCCAAAACCGGTTTTAGACAAATAAGCTTACAAAGCTTTTCTGGTTTCAAAACATGCAGTTGCAACTTCCTGTTGTGGTTTAACACTCTCAGCCACTAGATGGAGTCATTACCACTGTACATCCCGAGCCACAGCGGAAGAGTGATTCAGCCATTAACATCTGCAGCAAAATATCTGCTCTTGGGCTTTGAATGTTTCACCAAAACGTTATCAATTTTCACATGAAACAACTATCTGGAGAGGGAAAAATCCCTGATGTAGATTCAGATACAGATCCTACCAGAGTTCACAACATTTCATCTACAAACTGGAATCAAGCCCCCCACTGTGGATGACACAAACATCTGAGTATGTGAGAAAGAGAAATAATATGGCTTGTTTGTGTGCACCTGTGTATGTCTACCAGAACCCACCTCAGGGACTCCCACCATAAGCTCAGCCCAGCTCTTCCACTGGGGGCATTTATCTCTCTCCTGGAAGGTGGTCTCCTTGGAGTTCCAGCAGCAGTGCTCATGATTGAACCAGAAACCGTTCAGACAAACACCCTCCTTCAGGTCTGTCAGCCAGTGAGCTGCAATGTCTATACCTCCAGCTAAGGCTCCTGAGGAGAAGACAGAGAAAGATAAAACTATCTGAACTAATCTGAAAAAGAATGTGAGGGGGGGCGCAAAAAGAAAAAGGAATTAGAGGAAAACAGAAGATGATGAAGACAAAGAATTACACTAGCAAACCATTTATACTAGACCATATGCAGGATCATAAAATACATGTATCTTACTTATAGATCATAATTTCTGAAAATATGTTAAAAGATATTAAACACCTACCATATAGGTGCACTTTATAGGTTTATAGTTGTTGGCTGCAGCACGTCTGTGGTTACAGAATTTCAGACCCCCTCAAGTAGAGTGTGGTAAATTGTGCAGCAACACATGGACTACAGTCATTTTAAAATCTACAACATGCACCTATATGGTGTTTCTGATAAAACAGCCAGTGAGTATGCATATTTCATGTGGTGTTTTTCTTATTTTGTACAGCCCTGCATATACAGGGAGAGAGAGGAAATGAGAATGAGAGATAGTGAGACAGATATTGATGAACAGCAGTTTTCAGAGAGATATTACTAGTTAGATATTAAGTTTCTTTTTTTCCTCTTTACAGCACACATCTTTACCGCTCCTATAACTCACTCTCCACCACTCAACAGCATCTCTGAGGAGATTTTTCCCCTTACTACTGTGTTGTATTTGGTTGATAATTAAAGGAGCATCTCGGCCTAAGACTAGGATTTAATATGTTATTTGTTATGTAACAATCTGTAGCACATCACTGCATCCTTCAGACTCATCCGTTTGATAGAATTCATGATTTTGTACCCTTTTCATGTTTTCATCTATTAATATTCTCTCGCTACACTACCCAACATGCATTACTCAAACATGGCATACTATGGGAGGCAAATCCAGCCAAAAAAAGAAATTAGAACTAAAACATTAAAATGTAAATGCCATTTCTTTTTCCAAACATCTGTGCAAATATCCTGCCAAAATTGAAAATGAAATGAAATACCTACATTTGCAATTTCATTTTTCATATGAGCACGAGTCATTTGTGACAAAAATAAAAATAAAACAGCTATTTGTAATTTCATTTTAGTCGTTATTTTGATATTTCATGGCCATATCTAAAATGAAAAAGCTAATAGAGAAAAGAAAATCCAAACTTGTCAAAACTAAAATCAAAATGCAACGTTTATGTTCTTGTTTCTTTTTCATAGCAATCGGCTGCATATCTGACAAAATTAAAATGAAAATGCAAAATGGATAAAATCAACAGCAAAGTGACAGTTTGTGATTCAGTTTTCGGCATCGACGCGCTTTAAGTGTCAGAATGAAAAGGCAAATGCAAACAAACATTGGTGCCGCCTGCTGGAGATTTACTTTCATTTTCAAACTGACCAACATGCAAATATATGTTAATTAGCACTAGGCACAGGGTACATTTTAGGACATCCTCAGACCTCAGAGTCAGAACGGCATCATTCCTCAAGCTAAACGACTTTGAGTCTCGAGAAAAACCATCGTCATGACTCAGATCTGATGAAACTGAACATCAGACCAAACGCCATTAGACCAAACGGCCTCAGAAAAAACTGTTAAAATGTTATACTGGCATTTATGTCGATATACACAATAGTTTTCTAAATTATACGAACCACTATGTGCTCGACCAGGCTTTCGTTTGGTCTGATACCTTTTCTCTGAGGCCGTTTGGTCTGACGGTGTTCGTTCTGATGTTCAGTTTCGCCAGATCTGAGTCATGACGATGGTTCTTCTCGAGACTCAAGGTCTTTTAGCTTGAGGAATGATGCCATTCTGACTCTGAGGTCTGAGGATGTCCTAAAATGTACCCCGCAGCCCCGCCTAGTGCTAATTAACATATATTTGCATGTTGGTCAGTTTGAAAATGAAAAAGCAAAGTGGGAAATGAAAAGTAAATCTCCAGCAGGTGGTGCCGATGTTTGTTTGCATTTGCCTTTTCATTCTGACACTTAAAGCGCGTCGACGCCGAAAACTGAATTACAAACAGTCACTTTGCTGTTGATTTATCCATTTTGCATTTTCATTTTCACTTTGTCAAATATGATATGAAAAAGAAACAAGAACATAAACGTTGCATTTTGATTTTAGTCTTGGCACATATTCTGCATTTCATGAAGAAAAGCCAAAGCCAAAGCGAAGCTTGGATTTTCTTTTCTCTATTAGCTTTTTCATTTTAGATTTGGCCATGAAATATCAGAATAACGACTAAAATGAAATTACAAATAGCTGTTTTACATTTATTTTATTTTTGTCACAAGTGACTCACGCTCATGTGAAAAATGAAATTGCAAATGTAGGTATTTCATTTCATTTTTAAATTTTCCAGGATATTTGCGCAGATGTTTGGAAAAAGAAATGGCAAAAAGAGGTTTGTATTTACATTTTAATGTTTTAATTTTAATTTCTTTTTTGGCTGGATTTGCCTCCCATAGTGTTTATGTGCCTTTACTGTTGGTGTTAATTAAGAGCACTTCTTGTAGCAGAAATCAAGGCCTCTCCCATGTCTCCTTCCTCGCCAAGATGCTACAATATCATCAGTTACACTGCTTATGTAAGTATACTACATTCACATAAGCAACTTAAATGACGCCGAGGAAGTTACGCAAAAGAGTAAACAAGAAATCAAAAGGTAAACAGGAAATGAACAGATGTGTGGTATTGGTTGAGGGTCACTGACCTGACAGTAGTCCAATAAGAAGCATGAGAAGCCACCCAGAGAAAGCATCACTTAAACTCAAGAGCAGAGCCAGGTCAGACTGCTTCTTCTTTCTGTTGATCTGAGAGACAGATAAAGATGTTTGTATGCATCTAAACATGCTCGACAGCCCATCAGAAGTTTGGGGACACCTAGCTTGTTTTTAATACAAATGAGCAATGCTTTCTTTGTCACTTTGCAATAATTTAACATCAAAGGCTGAGCAGGTTTATTCTGAGTAAAAAAAGAAAATATATTTAAAAAAAATATTTTTGACAGCTACACTGGGAACACTGCCAAACCCCACATATTTCATTCCCTTTGTTGTGAGATCAGCAATCGGCCCTCAAGCCTTTCAGCCATTTCACACCACCTTTTGAGACAAGAGTTTCAATAAAGCCTAAGCTTTTAACACTAGTTTGGAAAACTGTCATATCATTACTCTCCTCCTCATACCAAGGAAGATACACATGAAGCTGAGTCTTGCAAAACATACACAAAGTATTACTCAATAAGTGTTTTTTGCAGGCATGTTACCAACATAACTCTCTAATGCTTACAAAAAAGCAGTTATTTCTGCATTTTAATCCACTCTTCACCTTTAATAACATGCTTTCTCAGGGCTGTTATTTTGATATGTACATAGTCTACTAAAGCTGAAATGTAGATTTTTTTTTTTAGATCTATCTATCTAAAAAGTAATTTTTTTACCAGTGAGACCTATCACCAGGTTAACTAAAAAAAAAAATAAATAATAAGTAACAGCAACAGAAATTTCAAAAGAAGTTTCATAATCTTTTGATGGGAGACATAAGCGCCCTGTCATACCTGCTGACCCAGACTATGGCAGACTGCCTCACCTCTCTGTGGCGGTCCCGGTCCTTTGACTTCTCTCTCACCCAGTCGATGGTGTTGAAGTCTTCGTAGGTGCCCACTCCAGGCACTCCTTCGTCCAGCAGATCCAGCAGGCCAGCACTACCAACCTGCCCTCGGGAACCATTACTGTAACCTGCAGGGATTAAAACAACAACACTAGTGAACTCTTAAAAACAAAGGTGCCAAAATGGTTATTTGGAGCAATGACAAAGAAAAACAATCTGGTTCCTTTGAAGAACCTTTCACTGAATCATTTAAATAAATATTTTGGCTTGAGATGTGTGAGTGTGAAAAACATTAAGAGCTTAAAGATCCTCCACATAATGTAAAGACTCTACAGTAAGCTCTAGAAATATTAATAACAAAGTCTCCAGAACTATTATTGGACACCATCTTCAGGCCAACAAACTATTTGGAAAGATGTGTCATCTTTGCCTGAAAACATATCACAATGTTTGTTAGACACTTCTGGAATTGGGTTCTATGGTCAGATGAGACAAAAAGCTTTTTGGCACCATCATTCAAAATGGGAGTGGTGTAAAAAGAAGGATGGTTATACAGCAAAGAACCTCAGCCTCACTGTTACACATGGTGGAGGATCTGTGATGTTTTGGGGCATTTTCCTCCAAAGGGCCTTGTTAAAAAGAAATTTCACAGATTCTTTCAATGATTGAGAAATAAACAGTGGTTTCATGTGAAATGCTGCATGAAGTGTTGAAGAGACACTTACCAACCTAATTTCTCTACAGCAGTGGTGATAGAAACAAGGGGTTGTGATTTCCACAATGCAAAAATAGCCATTTTATTTACTACCCCAAAGGACCAGTGAACCAACATAATTTTTTTTGGGGGGTGGCATGATTTTGCCTTACAACACCCTACATGTGGTCTCTGCCATGAACGGCTTTTAAAAAGTGCGTTTTAGGCCAAAAACTCTCTTAACTATTGTTAAACAAAGTCAGACAGCATACTATACTTGTAGCCATTACAAGCATAATAACTTTTCATGAGATAGCTTATAGAATCAGCACCTTTGGATGTGTGGTTCCTATCATCACCTTTGTAAACAGTTCTGACTTGGTAAGGTTCTCTAGAATGGATCACTGTAAATTACACCACTCTATATGACTTTGTTTACATCTTAACGGTTTCATTATGTAGAAATTTGGAACATAATGGTGGAATTCCCTTTTAACATATGCAGCATCATGGACTCCACAAAGTACCAGGACATTTTAAATAAAAATCCGTCAGTCTCTGCCAAATAGCTAAAACTTGGTCATGGATGGATCACCCGACATGACAATAATCCAAAACATGCTCTCAACTCAACACAAAAATGGTTCAATGACCTCAGAATCAAGTCCCCTGACCTAAACCTCATAGATGAGTTGAACAGGAGAATCTAAAAGAGAGGACGAGGACTTTTGAGAGATTCTGTATTGAGCCATGGTCTCTGATTGCTTGGAGTCATGCTTTGCTTTTTTTTCTAAATTTACTCCAGTCAAAGGTTAGATTTCGCTATTTTGAATACTGTCAGAATTAACCACATAATTTTTTCACCATCTTTTTTTTAACACATCTTTATCAAGGGTGGCAATAATTATGGAGCTGGCTGTAAATCAGTTAAGAGGTTTTTCCCAAAACTTTACATCCAAGCTAAGAACCATAAGCGTAATGCTATGAGAAACTACAGCCTGTTGTATCTACACTATTGTCATACTGGTTTCTGTCAATACATAAAATGCACAATAACAGCGATAGGATTAAATCGTGAGAGCAAGACAAAAGACAAAGCTTTTACATCAGAGAGGAAAAACTAGTATTGTTTTACAGAGAAGTTACAGATAATATCACAATTTGATCTGTTCATGACAGACGATTCCATTGTGAGATGTGAATATTAACACGTCTAATATCGCCACCATACTGCAGCATGCACTGTAAGCCTGAAACAAAGGAACTGGGCTTGTACAGGCTACAAAAATACCATCAATAACACAAGACAAAGACCAAGCCCAAAACTCATGCCAACTAGAGCTGCATATGCTATGGGAAGTCCTAACTTTCATCAAGCCCCAAAATATACCTTAAATTCAGAAGGGTGACAACAATGATTCAGTTTCAGACAATAAACCCCGGATTCTGCAAAAACACAAGAGGCTAAAGCAATGAAAAGCATTGACACTCACTCTTGTGCTAAAATTCCTACCAACAATAGAAAGTGGTGGTCAGAAAAAAACCTGAACAACTAAACCATAGCAGTAAAGAGGAAGAAGAGAGCAGCTTAAACTCTGCATTATAATCTTCCATGGAAAGTAGAGAGTAGATAACTGGACAGGTTGCTAAGTTACAATCTTCTCTGTTACCATATCAATTCAGTACACAAAATAAAGAGAATACAATAGAAAAATCAATCAGACACTACAGATACGCACACACACGCACACACACACGCACACACACACGCACGCGCGCACACACACGCGCACACACGCGCACACACACACACACACACACACACACGTTCTTATTGAGAAACAGCTTCAACATGTGCCAAAAGTTTTCAATCAAACAAGCAGAGCAGGCTCCACAGACAGGAAGGACGACTTCATGGGCGTGAAAATGTGCTGAAGAAAATGTAAAACATCCCATATGATAATGAACTCGCCTTAAACACACATCTTCTGTGCGCTCACAAATCAGCTTTAGTGAGGAAGTACAATTACACAGAAACATCTACATATAGATGCATGTGTGGTCCAGTCTAAAGAGATTTGGGATGAACTGTTGAAATAAAAAGCTGTTGAAGTTACACTTTATATGTAACTTCTTTCTGGAAAGAGTTACAAAAGTACTTGTAAATGCTTGAAGCTTGATCACAGGCTGATAAAGGGCGATATTATCGGCCAATATTGACAACCTGCAGTTTTATCTGTCTCAGTAAATTGACCACTTATGAACTTTAACAGTTCCTAAATCACACAGATTTGAACCCGCAATCTCATGACGTTTGAGTAGTACCACAGGCAGTTGTGTCATTTGTAAGCCCAATATGAGTTAAGGGATATACCCCTTATATTATACCCCTTATAACTATATGAAATAATACAGAATAAACTAAAAAAATTGAACACCATCATGGTTAAAATAACAAAAACATGAAGGACATGTTCTTTTTAACCAAAAGCATCCCACAGTGCAATAGTAGCAATTTAGACTTTGAGACCAAGCCCTTATTTTGAGAAACACTTAGTCTGTGGAGTAAAACCATAAGCAAAGGTGTTTACATGGGGCCTGGTGATTTAAGAGTCTGTCTACAAAGCATTACACTGTATACACAGCAAAGCTCTACAGATTAGTGGGTCATTTAGGTCATTTAACTTTCATTTAGTACTACTATAATGTTTTGTATGTGTGTCTGGGGTATGCATATGTGATCTCATCAAATAACGCTATCAATACCTCTCAGGTTAATTCTAGTACTGCCAAACATCTCATAATTCCAGCTTGATATCTTATAATTATGATAATGTACCACATAATTATATAACATCTCATAATAATGACACTACCTCAAAATTATGACTTAATATCTGAAAATGATTCTCTCATGCAACAGTATATCATAATTCTAAAATGCTAACTCGCAGTAAGATAAAATGAAGACACCGAGTCATAAATATGAGAATTCTTTCATTATTACGAAATACTAAGTCATAATTCTGACATACTAACTCATTATTGTGAGATTCGATGAGATACGAAGTTATAATTCTAAACCAGTATTTAAATTATGAGATAGTAAGTTATAATTATGGGGTAGTAAGTCAAAACAATTAGATGGTATGTCATATTTATATAAGAAACGTCTTTTCATTTTTTGAGATATTGAGTAGGAGTGCAACTGTAACAAAGTGAATTGTGGGCTGACACCTTTATTATTAAGTCAAAATTCTGAAAAGCATTGTTTTTATGACTTTTAATTGTTTTAATTTTTTTTCCTTAAATAGTATAAATCGGCTTCTATAGCACAGTACTGGAGTAGCAGATGAAAGGTATAGACAAATTAATAGCTTATGGAAGACTAATGACTGATGTACTAACTCTCCTCCATCTGTTCCCTACAGGCCTGCTGTGTTGCACAACTCTAAAACGTCCCCTTATTCCTGGAAGTACAAACACACACGTACGCGGTCTGGGGGGCATGGGAAATAGTTCTGTCGGTCAAAAACTTTTCTTACGAGACTTGTATTGGTGGCCTTTGACACTGACTGGCTCCACATATTTAGTGATCTCTTGCGAGGGTTGTGTTATGGTCTGGGTCAGACGAGAGAGAGAGAGAGAGAACAAGATAGACAGAGTGAGAGAGGGAAAGAGAGAGTCTGTATGTGAGGAGTTTGGGGGTTTATGTGACTCACCAAGTGACCTGGTCATGGTTGCGCTACAGTGAGAATACTGACTAGCGGCTCTTCCTGGAATGGGAAGCTCCAAGCTACAGTAATGGGGAGGGAAAAGGAGCATGCCAAGCACAGATGACTACCCACTTACGTGCTTCAAACAGTGTAATAAAATCACGTAGAGTTCCAGCTGTCTTTTGGCTCCAGTTCTGCACTGAACACAGTTTTACACATATGAACAATTTTGACTACAAAACAGATCAGCACTGTCAAGTAGCTGATCTGATACATGGCTTGTTCAAAATGAAAAACCCATCCCCATGTTAAAAAGACTATGGTCCAATCCCATTTCACCTTTTGCCCCTACCACTTAGCCCTTAGCCCTCTGTTTTGCGCGTTCATGTCTAGCGTTAGGGTGTCCCAATTTTTGTTGTGATAGAGGGGTAGGGCGAAGTGTTAGGGCTACATGGCCCTCCAAACAAAGTTTTTCAGAGACACTCCAAACTGAGTGTTATCAGAAAAAAAGAAAAACCGGCAAGATGGCTGCACAAGCCCACACATTTAAGTATTTTCTCCATTAAAAAATTACAATAACCATTGTACTATCTTAGTTTAATGTCGTTTCAATGTATTATGGTCGTTTTCTTCATAACAAGCATAGAAAATCACTAATAGCATGCCAATGTTTCGGTAGCTAGCTAGCTAACTTCCCATTCCACCTTAAATAGTACAG